TTTTTTTTTTTCAGGTGGGAATCTCACTGTTTATTGTGGGGGCAGAATCGCTTTTGTTTTCCATCTATTTCTACAATTCACCCTCTTTTCTTTTCTATGTCTTCCTTTTGCAGATTCCCCACCGTGGCCTGACACACACTCTTTGGGCGCAAAAGCCCTGGCTTCCAACAGAACTCCAGCTAGGCAAGCTCATTTCATCTTCCAGGCTGAGGCGTTCTGTAGAGTGTGGAAATGGCATGCAAGAGCAGGTACTCTACACAGGCAGTTGCCAGAGTGCCAGGGCTGCCCCTGAGCTGGTGACCAGCTTGCCCAGCTAGGTTATCAAGCACTGGTCTCAGGGGACAGGGCAGTGGGAGCCAGCCAGGGGCAGTGCCTTAGGAGCCCAGGTACCAGGGAGCATGTGGCAATTTCCTCCCTCTGGGTATCTGCTGGGTCATGCCCAGGTAGTCCCAGCAGTAGCCTGGACCCCAAGGCCAGGGTCTGAGAGCCGCCCTGGCATCACACGTCCAGCTATGGCACAAACATCCTTCAGGAAAGGAGCCTACAGCACTTCACTTCCGGGGTGGACCCGTCTCCAAGCAGTATAGAGGTTGTCACTTCCCCCTACCTGCACCCCCTGCCCCCACCACGCCTCCACCCTGCCAAAGGGTAGGGACCCTCTGCCGCATTGTCTCAGGTGGTTTGTCTGGCGTGTCCTAGTGCAGCCAGGCTAAAGCTCCACTGCTGGCTCTGAATGCAGGCGCTCCTCCCCTGTTAACCCCCAGTCTTCCTGCGGTGGGCGGCTCAGCGCCCCACCAGCTCCCTGTGCCTCCCAGCTTCCTCCTGCTTCTGTCAGCTCCCAAGAAAGTCAGGGAGCGGGTTTGGGAGACAGGAAGGAGGCTCCAGCCTCGGGGCTCAGAGCCACTAGCTCCCTGGACCTCTAAAAGCTACTCCCGCGAGTGTGTTTACAAAAAATCCTAGCTCTCCCCAGGGCTGCCGCGGGGTGTAACTCAGGTAGTATGTGCAACACGCTCCCCTCTCGCCTGCCTCTCATTCCAAAGACCCAGAACTGGCGCCTGGGGCTGGGGCTGTGACGGGTCCATACTCGTGGAGGTCACACGGGGTAGGGACAGTCCCTCTGCTGAGGCAGTGTGACATCAGCCCTCCCTTGAGGGGGGAATGACAGCACAGAAATGGTCAAAAAAAAGTATTATCACTCTTGGTCTTCTCTGAGCAGCACTAGTTGACCTGGCTGCCAACCCTGGTATGTGACACTGCCCAGCAGGGCCAGGACTCGGTCCACAGGCCAGGGACAGCTTTGTAACAAGCAGCAGGTGCCCAGTCAGCCACAGAAAACACCATCAGTCTGCCTTCTCGCATAAGCAGACATCATAGTCATTTCCTTCAGATGCCTAGGCCCCCAAATCACTGCCAAGACAGATTGCAGAGGCCCCAATCTGCCAGAGGGTCCCAAGTGTGGGGAGGGGTGTCCTTTTAGAGAACACAGAGGGCAGAGAAGGGGAGGGCAGTTGTGAACCAGGGTCACCGTGAAGCAAGTGTGTGGGCAGAATCACGTATACGTGAGGATTTAAACAAACAGAATGCATTGCTATGGAAACATCCAGCTTTTGCAAAGGCACTGTTAAGAAAAGTAATCAAGGCTTCAGATTCAACACCACAAGTGTTTATGACCAGAAAAGGCAAAGTGGGTCTTGGATACTCTGCAGCCAAGTAAAAGCTGCCAGGATTCAAAGAAGATGTATTCCCAGGAGGGCAGGGAGCCTTCATTTGTCGGGACTTTCTATGAAACCCTCCAATTGGAGCTTTCTGCTCATACCAGGGCCTGTTTAACTCTTTTAGGGTTATCATGACACAGTCCAGAGCCAGTCCTAGTCACTGACCGGGTCCAGGTGGGCCTGCCATACACTAAGGCAGGGCCAGGTCAACCATGGCGTGGGTGCCGCAGGGAAACGACAGGTGCATTTGCTGTGACCTAGTGAACTAGTGGTTTAGTCAACAAAACTTGCTAACTTTTCCTTCCTTTTTTTCCCTCCTTCCTTCCTCTTTTCTTTCTTTCCTTCCCTTCTTGCTTTCTTGTTTTTTTCTTTCCTTCCTTCCTTCTTTTTTCATCTACTTGAAAGGCAGCACCAGAGAGATGGAGAAACATTAATCTTGCTTTGCTTTCACTCCCTAAATGCCCACAACAGAGAAGCCCAGGCCAGGCTGAAGCCAGGCCATCTAGGTCTCCCGTGCGGGTGGCTTGGGCCCAAGCGCATGCGCCTTCAGCTGCCGTATCTCAGAAAGCATTAGCAGGGAGATGGATCAGAAGAGAGCAGGCAGAATTTGAACAGGCACTGCAAAAGGACATGTGGGTGTCCTGAGTAAGGCTTGTCCTGCTGCACCTACTCCAGGTCCTCCCTTCAATACTGAGGCTACAGAGAGCTGCAGAGCATCAGTCACGCTGCTCCGACCTGCCTTTGAGGCAAGCAGCCGTTCTGGTGATCAGTCATGATGCTGGTCCACATTCAAGAAGCCTCACACTGACTTGTGCATCATTTGGTTTGGAGTCCCCAAATGTACTCACGGGTCATGAGGAGGAGGAATTGGGAGGATAAACTCAGCTACCCCTGAAAGTTTCGAGGTGTAGCTTGCTTAGATGTCCAGTCAGAAAGGTGGTCTGAGAATCCAACTCACCAGAAAACAATTCCGCCCCTCCCGAAGTGAGATGATATTTTTTAATTCAATGGTTAATTTGCCAGCCTGGCTGGCAATGCGGCTCCGGACGAAGAGCTGTCAATGTTGATTAAGCAGAGATGAGGGGCAGATGCTGCCCTGACATACAGGAAGCCAGGGGACAAACAGGTGGCCCGTGGGGAGCTGAGGCCAGCCCTGAGGTGCCAAGTCCTGAGGCTCAGGCTTCCAGGATGCCTGCATTCAGCATGGCACCGGGGAATAGCACAGGGGCCTAGTGCTCAGTCTACAAGTCCTGGCCAAGTACTTAACCTCCTGGGGATCAGTCTAGTCTCAAAACGGCAACATACCTCTTCGAGGGGTGTGATGAGAACTCACATAAAAGCAGCTAGGACTCAGCGTGCTAGGCTAAAGTTCAAAACGAAAGGCCAGGGACCCAGTGTGGTAGCCTAGTGGCTGAAGCCCTCACTTTGCAAGCACCAAGATCCCAAATGGGTGCCGGTTCTAATCCTGGCTGTTCTACTTTCCCATCCAGCTCTGTGCCTGTGGCCTGGGAAAACAGTGGGGAACGGTCCAAAGCCATGGGACCCTGCACCCGCATGGGAGACCTGGAAGAAGCTTCTGGCTTCGGATCAGCTCAGCACTGGCTGTTGCGGCTACTTGGGAACTGAATCAGCAAACAGAAGATCTTCCTCTCTGTATCTCCTTCTCTCTGTGTATCTTCTTTTCCAATAAAAATAAATAAATCCTGTTTCAAAAAAGGGCCAGCTTACACACACACACACACACACACACACACACACACACACACACACACACACACACACACACACCCCAACCCTGCTTCTCTTCATGCTGTAAGTTAGTCACTTCCTTTACCTTAGATGAGATGTTAGCCAAATGTATTCACCCTCCATTCCTAAATGAGCACAGCCACCAGAAGAAAAGAGAAGCAGCTTGGCAGAAGTGGCAAAGCACGGCTGCCCTTTGCCATGGTCTGCAAGTCCTGTCCATGTCTACAGTCCATGTCTTCCTCTGTATTAACCACCTCCCTAACATCTCCGAGTGGACATTATCTTAATGGGATGCAGGAAAAGAGGGTTCTGGCATATGATACCTATAGACAGCTAGTGACCGAAGCCATGATGTGCTGCCCTCTGACTGGGAGAGCTAAGGGTGCTGGAGAGCAGGCACTCACTTCCTTGCCAGACATGCGGGTGATGAGTGAAGTGCTCAGATGCACAGCTGACGCGAGGGGAGATCACGACCCTCCATTAGGAGGAAGGGAGGCTGGGAGACTGTGCACCATCTGCCGGCCCTTTCACTTGGACAAAATGGAAGAGGAATTTCCCAGCGTTGGGCGTCAGACCCAAATCCAAAGCTGGCTGCACCAGCCTGGCCAGGTTTTGTTTGTTTTCCTGGGAGAACCAGGAATTGAGATTTGATTTGATTTGATTTGTGCCACAGTGTGTACCTCCCAAGCAGGAAGGCTGTGGATGCTGGCTCACATTTGGTAAGGCATTTAGCGTGTCTTTGAGAAAGGAGTTATCCACATTGAAAACAAAACAATGCAGAAAGCAAACAGGAACTACCGTGCACGGACAGAGCCAGGGAGCTTGTTAGAGAACAGAGCAGGGCTGGCCCAGCCCAGCATCCAAGCTTGGCTAAGAGCTGGCCCAGCCGTTGGCAGCATACCAGGATCATGGGCATCACCAACATCACAATGTGGAATGGAAAGAGGACAGACAGAAAGAAGACACTACACGTTTTCCCCACAGGCCAACAGGGAAACTCTATCCCGCCTGCCCTACTTTTATCCCTTTCAATTCTTCTTTCGCTGGGTTTTCTATATCTTGGTTTGGGATCCTTCTGGCACGTTGCTGCTGAGTCAAGGGGTTAAGAAGACACGTGTTTTTCTGATGCAAGAAGGGGCAGCCACTGTGTTCTGTTTTGGGAACTTTGGTGACATCACAGCCTAACCCTTGAACCTTGGTTAACGTGTGTGTAAGAGAAAACATTGAGTCAGAAGACAGCCTGAGTCACGGGCTACTGCAATCCAAGGAGAAGGCAGCTATTGGGTAGCTAAGTCTATTCCCTGCAGGACTGCTCCTGCTTCTGTTTGGCTGGGGTGTCAATGACCCCAGTGGTTCCCTAGGGGAAACTGATCCATGTGGAGCAGCTGATGTTAGCAGAGCTTTTTGGTCAGTCCCAGCCTGCCACTTCCCCGAATCGTCTTCAGTTATTCCTCCCTGTGCAGGGGACAGCTTGCGTGTGTTGTCACAGCGGTCCAGCCGGTCACACTGCCTTCACTTTGCATCCCAGGAAGATGGATGGTGAGGAGACGCATTTCAGCAGAGTGTCTCCATCGCCACTGCGTTGACACACAGGGCAAGACACGGAAGAATCAGGGCAGACTTGAGCCAAGCCTGCAAGGCCACCTCTGTTTGGGTGTCAGCAGAAGCCATCTACCTTACAGAAGGCTACAGTCACTGACACATATTTATGCCTCTATCTCGCTGGCGTCACGCGGAAGCCACACGTGCAGACTTTCTGTGGAGGCCCAAGTCCATTCATATTTCCCCAAATGACAGCAGGGAGGGTGGGAGAAAAACTGCTTAAGCAGAAAAGCAGCCACACAGCCAGTTTTAATTTGCCTAAAGATAACATGCGATTCTGAGACAGAGTGAGGAGAAGACATTTCCATGGCACACACATGGCCGCCCAGAGCTGCTGGCTCGGAGCTGAGAGCAAGCCTCGCAACACGGGCCACATGACCGTCCCTGAACTGAGCCCCCACTGCCTCAGGACACTTCCTGTCGAAGCAGGTGGGCGCTGGTTCCTTGTGGCGTCGCTGTGACAGATGTCCCATCAGCGGGTGGCCCCTCTTGGATCCGGATAAACTGTCCGAAAGGTCAGGTTCACTCTCGGCTCCCTCGAGTGGTACTCCTTGGGCACTCGATGCTAAATGGAAATACCAATTACTTGCAGACATAAGTACGTGTACATACAGAGTTCAAAATGATGTCAAAGTGATTCATAAGGAGACACAAATATTGTTTGTTTATCCTTTCTTAAACAAGTTAAGGGTAAGCATGTGAAAGTCCTCAGGAGAAAGGCCTCTTTTGCAAATTATTTTCCATGCTGAACCTGCTGTGCCAGGCTGGTGCCCTGGGGGGCCCAGACAATCCCACCTTTTCCACTGCCACTCTTCCTCCATGATGTCTGTCAGCTCGCCACACCTTGTGAGAAAAAACACAGGTGTGGAGGAGATTCACAAAAGATGCCAGCCTGAGGAGGGTCTGGCCTGGCTGTGGAGCTGTGCAGCCCAACACATCTAGAAGGCACTTGAAACAGGATTTAGAACATATGAGCCATCTTTACAGAGGTCAGCAGGCAAGTATGTGGCTGGTGGTGATCATGGTGGGCAATGCAGATAATACTTCTAGCATCATGGCAAGTTCTGTTGCCCATGGTGGTTGCAGAGGCACAGTAGATTGTTCCTAGGAGCCAACCTGCTTGGAAGCAATGGCCTTTTACCACCTCTTGCTTGTTATAAAAACAACTAACTGGCTTTGCACCGTATGATCTCTTAGAAACCAGCTCTCCTCCCCCGCCCGGATAGGCACACATGTCACCAGCCATCCTCACCTGCCAGTCAGCTTGGGTAGCTCCCTCCATGATTAACAAGGTTCCGTGGTCCAGAGGTATCTTCACTCTCTCCACATAGGTGTAGTCTCCATTCTCTTCCTGGAAGACAGCATTCGCTGCACTTGGCTTATGTGTCCAGGGCACAACCAGGCCACTGTTTGGACAGCCACTTCACTTCTCTGCCCCTTCACTGATTCACTTGTACAGTGAGGATGATTATAGCAGTTGTCACACAGAGATGCTGTCCATCACTGAGACCGCACACAGGAACTGCCGGGTTAGCATAGCTGTTACCATGAGTAGCACCAGCCAAGACACAGACAAACTCTAGGAAGGGGTTAGAAGCTATTTATTTGCACAAGAATTCTTTATCTCTGCCTTACGCTATGTTGAATGTATCAACACAATCAACACGCGAAACACGAGCTTTTAAATGTTATTTAGTCATTTATTTGAGAGACGGAAAGAGAGGAAGAGAACAAGCTCCCATCCACTTCTTCACTCTCTGGATGCCCACCACAGCCAGAGCTAGGCTGGGGCCAGAGTCATGCCAGTCTCTCCTGTGGGTGGCAAGAGCCAATGCTTCAGCCACCACTGCCGCTGCCTCCCAGGTTCTGCATTAGCAAGAAGCTGGAGTACTTGGTTTCAAGTCCTGGCTCCAACATGTGACGTGGCATCTTAACTGCGAGGCTAAATACCTCACTCTGAAATATCACCTCATAACAAAGACTTGATCTAAGTTCTATTTCACCTTTTCATAACAGGCTAATTCACTGATTGGCACCCAAGTTAAAATTAGTTACAAGCCTTCCCATGGTTGCTTTGGTGTTCTTTCTTCTTTGTCTCCCCTCTGCTCCCTAACTCCCCTCGCACCCCACCCCCGGCTCGCTGTGCAGCTTCCTATCTCTTTCCACAACAGGCAACAGCATGATTTTCTTAAAGAATGGAGCTTGAGTAGGGACGATGTTACCAAGCCGGGTCTGGCTGTTTAAACCTTTGAGAGTAGATCACAACTCCTGAACATCTTGGACACAAACGCCTTGTGCGTGCACTACCAAACTCCACCCGCAAGCTCACAATCCATGGACGCCCACTACTGCCACAAGTCTTCCCAGCTCACCCAGCACAGTGGTCACAGGTGGTGGCTGCACCTCCCCAACAGCTAACAAGGGCATGCACTAAGAAATCCCTGGCTTCCAGCAGCAAAGAGAAGCTTCCTGATTTCCCCACCCACACCTGGGCAGAACTGCTGGGCCACTCCATGCACTGGTCTCCCTTGCAATGTGAGGGTTCTATTTGGGTGCCTGCAGGGTGGATTCCAGTGTGGTGCTGCGTTTATGTTTATTCTTGCAGGGGTGATTCTGAGAACTTCACTGTTTACAATGACTTCCCTCAGGAAAATCAAAATCAAAACAATAATGAGCTTGCATAAACAATCTAAATTCCAGGCCCCAACCCTTGGCAGGGACTTTGTTGAGCACAGTCATAATTTTTACAGGCAGAAGAGCCAAGCAATGCTTGAAATATCTTGGATTCAGTTGTGTCTGCCACCTTTTTTTGTTCCAGTACTACTTAAGCACCAGAACCTCTGACCACTCAGCCAACCAGTCGGCAGTGAGAGGGTGACCCTGACCTTGGGTGGCCATCTCAGAAAGCAAAAGGCTGATTTTAGACAAACTATGCCAGACAGAGGAGAGGTATTCCCTGCTGAAGAAAAGGCATCAGGAGGAAAGAGAGTGTCCATGAGAGTGGAGGTGGCAGGGCTCCTGAGGCTGAGAAGTCAGCCGCCAGTCGCCAGAGTCAGGCTCAAGAGAACCAGAACTTCTGTGACCTCCTCTATATGCAGGGGGTGTAACATTTTTAATCTGTAAATCAAGTCCAGTCATGAGGGCCAGAGAGTGAGATGAAACAAAGAGGAAGCCACTTCACCACAATACCAGGACAGTTCTAAGGCAAAGATCTCTTAGGACAAGAAAAATATGACTTGGGGTTGTGGGGGTGGCAGGGAGAGGGATTCCAAGGAAGAAAGCACTACAACTCCACTTGGCAACGCAAGGAGATGCGAGGAGAAGCAGTGAATACTCTAATTCCCCCTGGGACAGAGGTGGGAACACGCCTCCCGAGTGGAAGAGAACTCTCCGTGTAAGAGGAGACTATCAGCACTGATGGAAAGGGATGCATGACAGAGCCACATTTACCTGTGCTCTTAAACTCTGGAGATTTCCAATGAGAAAAAGCCTCAGGTTGGTTTGGAATGCATGATGTGCCACACAGCCATGAGCCACACCAGACAGCAGAAGAGGCGGCAGAAGTCCATTAGGTCAATCCCCAAAGGAGACACACACACACACACACGCATGCACACACACAAACAGGGCTCCCTGTGAGAAGTGATGTCATTACTTCACTGCCTGCAGCCTGAGCTTGGGAACACACATTCCTAATTTGCACATGGAGATGGGCAAGGAGTCCTACCAACGCACTAGGGAGCTCATACACGCAACCTTCATTTGAAGGCAGGGTGGCGACAGACCATGGCACCACTCCGAAGCTTCACACTTGATCTTAGCCAAAAGGCCGAGAAGCAACACTACCATCTAGCTTCACAACGGTGCATGGAGACTTGGTATTCCCAGGAAGCAAACAACAGGGCAGCTCAGAAAGCTATGCAGAAATGCACGAGGCTGATAAATAGGTGTGCAGCAGCACAAGTTCGGGTCTGACTCGCACACATCACACATAGTAAAGTTAGCAAAACACATCTCTGGAATCCTTTGGGTTCACTCAGGACTTCAAAACAAAACACACTCTCAGTTAAACCAGTGCTGAAGCTAAAATTTTCCATCCTGGCTCCCAGTTAAAAGAAGCTTTGAGGGTCACAAGTAATCTCCAGGAGGGCTTTTGTTGTTGTTCATGTCCTTGGTTTTCCACACTTCTGAAACCTTACAAATAGAGGGGGAAAGTGAAAAACATGTTTTTCTATTAACGCAGACCTGCATTCTCACTGTCTCCAGCCACAGCCTGTTTCTCTGAATGCTGAAGTGCCCGAATCAATGCCCTTGTAATTAGCCACTCCACGCCTGTCTTCCCAAGGACTCATCTACTCCATGAGGGAAGGCCTGGAGGAACATTCACAGCCTACCGTCCAGACCAATCAATCTATGCTGAATGCCAAGGAAAACTGCCCCCCAAAATTACAGAAAAGTCACCTACCACTCAGAATTCCTACACTGCCCCCCAATATTTCATATATACAATTATGTACTCTTTGTGCTGACACCATATTGTGAACATTTGTCTATATTCTTAGGAATACATTTCAGAAACATGGTTGGAAAGTAGTCCCCCCATATTCCAGGGTGGTAAGTTCTCAGATGGCAGAGAGCAGATAATGCTGAATTCTGTATATAGTTTCCCCCCTATACATATAAGCCTAAGATAACCTTTAATTTAGAAGCAAGGCATATTACAAGATGAACAAAAAGAATCAATGAAGAACAAAGCAATTTAAATTTTTTTAAAATATAATTTAAGAATTGTTTGCTTTTGAAATTTTCCATTTAGTATGGTCAGGCTGCGGTTACCATAGGTAACTGCAACAACAGAAAACAAAATCATAGATAAGGTGTCCTCCTGCGAAACACCACTGCACATGAGCACAGCCTTCCTTCTCTGATCTCACAAATATTCCTGGACCACCTGTGTGTGTCAGGCACCATGCTGGGGCCACTGCAACAGCACTGAAGGGACTGCGACAGACCGGGCTTGACATGCCAGTGCCATTCATGATGTGTTAGAGAAAAGGCCACCCCAGATACACTTGCAGCAAAACATTTCTAAGTGCATTTTTAGGACATCTTTTTAAAAAGACAGTGACTGGATCCCAGGGTATGAATCGTCAGACACTTGATTTCTGTTACCAAATTGCTTTCCTGAAGAGGTTCCAGTCATTTCTTACTCCATCAGGAAATCCAAACAATGCCTATCTTTTAGCTAAACACTATCAACTGATAATGATGGGGGGAAAAAAAAACAACAGCAGCAGCAACAATGAGGGGACAAACGTAATTCAAGTTGAATCTTCTGATTTAGAGCCCAGCTCAAAGCAGTTTCTCAGGATCTACTCATATTTGCTATCTGTTTCTTCTTTTGTGAGCTCTCCCTCCCCGCAGGTCCTCTGCCCACTGTCCTGTGGGGTCGGGGTGGTCTTTTGTACTGCTCTGTAACCATCCACAATACGGTATTTACTCTGTCCCACCTTTTACAAATGCTTTCCTCACTTGGTATTTGTCTTGTAGTTGTTTCTGTTTATGGGATTTTTACAGAAAATAGATCAAAAGTTTGTAGAGTCGCCTTGCTGGTCTATCTTTGGCTCTTTCATGGTTTTTGTGCTTAGAAGGTCTTTTCCCATCCTGATGAAAGTTAAATATACAGCTGCATTTCCTTTTAGTTAAAAAAAAAAACCACCAAAAACACAGAGCTTACAGTTTTTTAGAATTAACTCTTTAACAGACCTGGAATATCTGTTGCTTTCTCTACCCCACCCATGTTTCTTTCCTAAACAGTTTCCAGCTACCTTAGAGGCTTCCAGCAAGACTTTTCTTGGAGCCCCAGCACAATGGCTCAGTGGCTAAATCCTCACTATGCACATGCCAGGATGCCATATGGGCATCAATTCATGTCCTGGTTGTTCTACTTCCCCCCAGCAACTTGTGGCCTGGGAAAGCAGTGCAAGACAGCCCATGTCCTTGGGACCCTATACCTGTGTGGGAGACCGAGAAGAAGCTCCTGACTCCTGGCTTCAGACCAGTTCAGCTCTGGCCACTGAGGCTATTTGGAGAGTGAACCACAGATAGAAGATCTTTCTCTCTGTCTTTCCTTTTTCTACAAATCTACCTTTCCAATAAAAATAAATAAATCTTAAAAAAAAAAAAGACTCAATCAGGATAAGTTCAACCCCTGCATGTGCTTGGATACTGGGTAGGAAGGCAGCACATTACTGCTCAGCATACTCCATAAGGGAGAGCAGAGAGGCAATATTATCCATTACGTCACAGGCAAAGGGAACTGGATGGAAAGCATGTGTTGAAAGCAACGTT